GAATCATAGTAATAGTAATAATAATAAATATGAGCATCAATTCACTTTGTTTTGTTCACAGGAGTAGAATCATAGTAATAGTAATAATAATAAATATGAGCATCAATTCACTTTGTTTTGTTCACAGGAGTCAGAAGTCTAAAAACTAGTAATAATAAATTAATAACCACATTTTATCTGAAATCTCCTTTGCCGCTTCCGAAATCGCTGTTCTCCAATCCTTTACGGCGCGTCTCGCCCACAGATAGCTGGCGCCCAATCGCCAGCCAGCACTAATTAAGTGCCAAAATTTGAGGTCACTTCGCACCTAGTCGCGACGCAGCACTAATTAGGTGCTAAAATTTCCATTCGCACCACTTGATACACACCCGGGAGAACCTTGTCAAGAATCAGCGACAGTTGAGGTTCGATTTTCAAGAAGTGGATAGTTGTTCTCTTCATGGCTTTGCATCGCTTCGGAGGAATGCTACAATGAGCGCAGCTAAAGCGCGATCAATACAGATAGTCAATTTAAAGACCGACCCTTGAATTGCACAATCCGAATTCACGCAGACTGCCTTCGATCCACTCAGACGTGAGTCGCAAGGGTTGCAATAGAAAAACTTTGTGTGACCGAACCGCTGGGGGCATCATGCATCAGTTTCTTGATTGAGTTATTCGTCCTGAACAACCTTTATCATTTCGCTTTTAATTATTATGATATTTTTGTCATTTGCTGGAGTGTTGCTTTTATATTGTTTTCTGTTTGTGTTAACCTAGTTATTGTTAATGGAAAGAAAAAGAATCAAAAGCTAGCAAAAAAATGGAACGAAAAAAAATTGTGGAAGATAACGCAATGCACAAAATCAAAACGAAACTCTGGATTCAAATAATGTAGACGAACAAGGTTCTAATACGAAAATGCTAAGTGAATCAACAAAACGATGCCCATTCGCACAAGAAAGCGACGCGCATGCGCGTCATGCTGTCGTCAATGTGTTAAATCACACATAATCTTAGAAACCTAAAAGCAAGAGAAAGAAAACCTAAGAAAAGCATGACTGACCGGCTCAGGAAGGAACACACCTTTCATGGCAAGAAAATCGTCCAGAAAACCAGCCATCTTTTCGCTCACCCCAAAATGTAATTTGAAGACAGCAGCATAAATCATTGATTGTTGGAACGCTGGAAAGATTCATTTTTTCGAGACATGACTTGAGAATCGACTGCATGTGCACAGCATGTACAAGAATCTCACTCACTCGGATGCGGAGTAGAAATCCTTGAGTTGAATGGAAGAGTAACCACATGTTCTTCCCGGACTTCATCCGCAGCCTCTTCAACTTCTTCTCGGTGTTCAGCCTCTAGTCTTCCCAATTCCACGACCAGAGCCTCTTCGACCGCCTTCCTTTCCGAATTCGCAACTTGTTCAGCATTCAATTCAGCGAGCTGACGGGCTAGGGCCACGACTGGTGCTGAATAATCGAGGTTAAGTATCAGGCCATTACTAATGATCAAAACTAAAGAAAAATTGTTCTACGGGAGACTATAATGCGCTCACCAGCCATCGCTCTCAATGATTGACTTTTTCTAAGCGGTTCTTTCATCTTCACTAACGGCTCCGGAGGCTCTTCGTCGGCGTCGCGTGAACAAGAAGGGGCGTCAATAGTCCGCTTTCGGCTCATAGAAACACCTATACCTAGTTAAGTCCTTCACAATCAATCGAACAGACGTCGACTGACATCACAGTTGGGCTATGAAATACTTGCGGTTACGCACCCATACAGCAATGAATCAAGAATTTGGTAAGTGTTTCATTCATCCGACAACAACGATTGTTATCAGAAGCCATTTCCTGAGAGAAATGTTGTGGAAATTATTCGAACTCGATTCCAATTCCCTCAGTGTGAGCGGTTATGAAGGGAAAGAAAGAAAGCAAAAAAATAGTGAATATCGGAAAATTTTGGGAATGTTTTCCAAAATCCTAAAAAAAATCTCAGCCGCACACCTGAACAAGCATATGTTATCGGATGCAATTTCAAGGTGATAGTTCCAAAACGCATACTGTGACACAGGCGTACTCAAAAACAAGTGCTCCATGTGGAGCGAGCTGTAATCCTTTCATGGCGCTCAGATCCATTGTCAACCACCTGAACAGCACCCGCTCAGGCAAAAGAGGTGAGTGTTGTGGAAACATCAAAGCACCTGTTCTCTCTGCAGTCCAGATAATTGAGAGCTGGGAACATTTTCGCTAAGGTCGACCAAGGGTGAACCAGCTGGTTATTGCGAAGGCAAACATATTTGACGCAAGTGGCGCCCGGATGAATGCTTGTCGAGGATCCTGATCAGTTAGATCGCAGCAATCGAGATGCAACGTCTACGAATGCAGGACGTCTACAACTTCACCAACAAAACGGAATATCAACCCTCCAATCTCATATTTA